CGGAGGTCTAACGTCTTATTTCACACCCCTGCTTATCAGATTGTTTATTCACGGTAACTGTTCACCAGCTTGACTAAATTTATGCCACAAATATGGCCGTGTCTCGGTGACTGTAGTGCAAGAAAAATGATGACAAATGCTAAATACAGGCATTCAAGTCTCCGCTTCTCTGCATTTGTCTATCTGAGATAACCTTCGATGCATTCAATGCTCCACATTATTCCTATTTGCGACCCTTCGGATGGTTCTAGACGAGTTTAACTAAAAATCAAAACTGAAATCCGATACATTCTATTAATCCATTTCTTCATACCCAAATTTTACACAGCTGATTTCTTCTCATTCTCCTTCAAAAAGACGCTCATCAGTACACACATTTATATACAGTGCTTGACATACTTTATCAAATCGCATCTATCCTCTGGTGGCTGCATCATCGTTTGATTCAATGTGTAAACCCAACTTTCGTGAGAGCGTTGATCCGTACGTGCAGATGAACGGACATTCAAGCTTTTTGAGCAAAATGTATTCCAATAAATATTTCCGGAAGGAACATTTGAAGGGTTAAATCTAACCCTCATCAATTTGTTGCTACACTTATAACAATTGGTTATAGCAGTTTTGAGGCATCCATGCTAATTTTGCAGTGGAGAGACGGCGGCCTTGAGTAACCCGCTTGTGACTAGCGTCAAATGGAAAAATTTTGGCCAACGCAAAATTCATTCATGCTTTTTGGGAAGAGTTACAACTGCCGGGCAGGTTTTACTATATCTAGCACGAAGACATCGTGGAATTTGAAATTTTTCAGTAATCAGCAAATAAACCCAAGGAAGAGAAATTTACCGGTCAAAAGACCCCGCTAGATGCATTAAGGAGTTGGTATGAGGGACTCCGTCCGGACGATGGGAGAAGTTTTCACAATTCATTGTAAAGCTGCAGTCCATCCAAGCTGGGCAGTCCTCAGGTGCTGCCCGTCCACGTTACTCATGAGACCAAGGGCTGATGGCGAATAGCGGACCATCAATCAACGCATCCGTGAACAATACACTAAACCGAAACCCAAAGACTTTGTGTGGCAGGTCTCTAGAAGCTCCCACGTGGGTGCTTCGGTAAGGCTCCCTTTTTGGACCTACGTTTCATTGCTTTGTGTGTACTACTGTTTGGTCAAAGGCTCCCGTCAGAGTTCTAAAAGAAATATTCTTAGTTTGCGTGGGTTGCCGTCAAGTATGTCGTGCACTAAAGTCTCAGGGACCCATTTGAAAAAGTCTCTTTCTCGGCCATCGAGTTNGTTCTTTCTCTCACTCCCGAATCTTCCTCAGGGCTGATAACTTGTCTCCGCCCATGCTCGAATAAAGCAGCAATGAGACCATCTTGGAATTCTTGGCTTCAGAAGTCATTTTCTTTTGCAATTTAATTTTTGTTCTGGGAGCTGCTTCTGGCAAAAAACTGTTTCATTCACAATAAATATATCACAGTTAGTATATCCATGGATCAATTGCAGTCACTCTGCTGGAAAATTGGCAATACATCAGGTTATCCCACCAAACTTTCCCAGCAAACCTAAAAAGTGATCCGTGTGAGTATTGCTTGTCTTTTACTTTGTAGGAGGGAATACCACACCTGTCAGACCAAAAGAGAAACTAACATTTGAAAGTCCTGAAGTAATCATGATGCATTTTCTGTGCTACTTCAGTAACCTTACATATGATGCTCTCCACCATGGGGAACTCCTTACCTTTCGCTCATATTGATAAATACTGCCAAGGTCGCCTCATTATCTTTCTAGACTTTTGATTGGTTTTCAGGTTGCGTCTTTCCTGGGATGCATCAGGGTTGATAAATCCACCAATAAATGCTCGATTGGATGTACCATTATAAACAGTTTTCCTTGAAATACCAAGTACTTTTATCCCAGACTTCCTAGTTGTACCAGCCTGATTTACCGCGTCAAGCACGTACTTCTCTTTGATTGATAAGCACCTCTACATTGTCACATTATATGGTACCGTTTCGATTTGCTGACATCTGTTTGCGTTTCTCACAAGGGTTATTCAATCAGTGAACAGTGTCATATGTATGTCAAATTCGGCGATACGTCATTAGCTTAATGCGACGTGGTATGTTGGTTGATCCATGGCCAACCAGTAAATCGATCAACGACCTAGTGGTTAAGCTTCAGGAAGTGCGACATGCCTAGGGGGAGACAAGGAACAGTCAAAACCCACGTTATGGCGTAAACGGCTGGCTTAGGTCTGCTAAAATGTGGTAACATAGGGGAAATTACGACTGTTCATGGGTGCAATATAGGAGGAGATTGACTATAATTGGCCAAGGTTGACGTTTTTTAGAGCAGTGGATTAAGCAGTCTGATACAGCGTTTGGTACATATTGCGGTTGATTGCAGAGTTAAATCCAGGCATTTAAGAGTTACTGGGCTGCGCAAATTAAAAGAAACTGATTCGCTTACTAGCGGATAAGTTTAGATATTTTCAGGAGAGAAACATAAAAGGAACTCCGTTTTCGTAGAACCATCTCCGGACGCACTGGAAGTCTGAGTGGAATTGGTATCAAGAAGCTACAGTAATATGAGAAAAATTTTAGAAACTCGAACTTTTAGAAGCAATTCTCCTATATTTTTGAGCAATGCATAAGGAGTACATAAGCACGGATCCTACAGGGTAGATTATTCAATACTGGCAATAAGAACTCCCTATAGCATGATTTTTTACATCCGTTTCATTGTTTGAAGGACGAAACCCCAATTTGGCGGTTTTATTAACATTATATATATATATATATATATAATACAATAGGGAAAAGCTCTTTAACCATATTTACTCGGTGTTGCAAATGAGGTTATTGTGACAAAAAGATATATGTATATTTGGCAAAGCTGTGAACACTGTTTTAGGGGAGGGGAAAACTATATGACATAAGGGCATATATATATTTAATGCCGGCTTGCAGACAAGCATAGTGCCAACGCCATAACAATAATAACAATAACAATAAAACAATAACAGGGGATAGGTGGATTGGGACGCCGAACAAAATGGAACGAAGGTAAAACAGTTAAAATGGAAAATGGTAGATTACTGGAATAATAAACGTTTTTCTGTTTCACCGTACACCATAAATGCAGATAAGTAATCTTCGAAAGATGCACATGAAAATCAAAATGATCACAATGTTGTTCGGTCATCTGAATTTTTAGGCGTCCAATTGGTTGTGCAACACGGACCGAGTTTTGCCTAAAGTAGGCATGCCTGGATGTGATTACGTACCATGCACACGGTGTTCACTGTTTTTAACAGTGTGGTCCTTCGACAGCAATTTACAACTGTGAAACTAAGCGATCACTTTCACATCGATGGATTGTTAATAAATAATCGATCGTTTTTTAGTATATCGCCGTGTCTCATAGGGGACATTTGTAAGGTTGAACAGAAAAACTGTTGAAAACTGAAGCAAGCCTCTCCCGAGATCAGTTTCCAAAGAAAAGACCATGATCACAAAAGTGCACGATTTATGTTATTATGGTCCATACTGTATAGTGCTTTAGCAAAATTCATTTTATAGCTGCTTTAGTTTGTTATTTTCCATTATAAACTAACTTCTTTAGAGTATCAAATTTGGATTAGCCAATTCCATTGTTCAGAGGCACCGGTCACTCAATAGAACATTGAAGCGGATGAAAAAGTGAGGATTTCCCATATACGGAATTTACCGTTTTAGTGAAGAGCAATTTCTAAAATTTGCTAATTAGATTTAAGGTCTAAGCGCATGTGACCTCACCGTGTTGGGAGGTGCTACTCACACTTGTGAGTAGTTTGTACGCACAAAGTGGTGGTTACTGGAATCCCAAGGAATTCACGAGTGGATTAAAGAATTTAATTTTGTAACTGCGTAAAATGCGCATTCACTGTAGGACCGTTCCAGTAGTTATCCTGTGTGCTTGTGAGAATTCTGAAGACTTGTTCCGAATGAGACATTTTGTTGTATGTATGTCAATTTACCGATAATCTTACCGTTATTTGTGACAAATAACCTTCCTCGTCCAGACACCGTCTTGTGGATTGATAGAAACAGCGCATCACACATTACCGGAGTGTGACATCTACATAGATCAAACTCATAAATCGATAGCGGCAAGGGGCCATTTTGAACAAACATTAGTGAAATACTTTCAACTGAGAAATGTTAATTGCTAATCCTGATCAGGCTTTATCTGATGAAGTAAATGTATTTTTAAATATACTGCCTTTTTCACATCACTGACTGGATACTCGAAATTAAACTGCGTTTACCCTGACTGCTTCTTTCCAAATCCAACACCTGAATTGGCTTGCCCAGAGAAGCGCAGAAGGAACTCCCACTGAAAATCAGAATGTCCAACAACCACAGCAACAATCTATCCAAAGCAGTATGATTGTACGTGAGTCCAACACTCAGGCGACAAATACTGAAGCCTTGGGAATCCCAACGGACTCAGGGACAGAGACACCCAAAGATACTGTGACATCCGATGCAATTCAGGCCATGAATTACAGGGGAACCGTGGGTGTAGCGCCAACCGATACGTTGTCACAAATGCCGTTTCTTCGGGAGTTTCTTGGATTCGGTGGAACTGAAGAATTATTCCGAATGGAGGATGCTGTAAGTCATCACAGTAATCTCTCACGTCCGAGTATATGATATGATACACGACCGATGTGCATATATTTTCTTACAAGCAGTATCATGGATTATCTTCAAACTGGTCACTTAGAGGAGTTAAAAGTTGTATTGTGAGCTGTACCCCATGACATGTTATTCATAATACTAAACTACACTGATTAAATGCAAGTTAGCAGTAGACAGATCGGAACCAATCCGTGTGATATTTGATATAATATCTGTCCGGTTTAAATATGATGCACCCTGCGAACCCTTCACGTATTTTGTTTATATCAAAGAATTTTAGAATCGTATAACGGTAAAACCTTTTGCTTTCTATTATTTCAATACTTACATGGCAGCGAAAAGCAATTTGAATAGTTTAAAGAGTAATTAAAGAGGACAGAGTTTTACCAATTTAAGCCTCACGGTTGAATACTCCATCAATGTTTCACAATTTATGTATCTAAATAGCTAATAACTGAGTAAATAATTTTTCTATGTTGAGAATATTGAGTGCTCCTCGGCATACCTACGATGACCAAATAGTTTAAATTGATTGAATCAACACAAAGCTATGTACAAGGTCATGAGTTCAGTTCCCATGATTGCAGATCCTTTTGTGGAGCTAAAGATCCTCAATACCGCTTGAAGTTGTGCCTCATTTTGTTGCTCACCATTTTATATGATCCTTTTTTTCTATTAAATATTCTTCAAATTGTATTGTATTGCAGTTTATTGTATTCCTGCTTTAGCGAGTTATATACAAGCTTTCAGCCATTGGTACCAGAAGACATATGTGAGCAAAATTAATGCTGATCCCCATTTTTGCGTGGTATTATTTGGCTATAAACAAATTTATACAATCATGTCATATAACCAAATGTGCGAGTTGAACTAGATCATTAATCAGGGTGGTGGACAAATGACCTGTGTGACTGTATGTGTTTAAGGTGTGAATACAGGTGAACCAGAGAAACAAAAGATGACAACCAGTTCCAATTCTGCCCATAAGTCCTCCTTCAATCTTTTTTTCGGAATATCAGAATCCAAAACCGAAACCAACCCTTGCCCGAGCTCTATCATAGTGCGTGTACTAATATCCCTTCATCAGACACACATTTACGATGAATAAGTTCTTAATTTTAAAGGTTCTTGTTCACTGTAAATTGCTCCATAGAAATTTATAGACAGGTCCTCTGGTTTCTATTTATTGGCAATCACACCTTGATGATAATATATCACCACAGTCATCGAACTCACTTATGTTCCTATGAACATTCTGTGTTCATGAAGCATTTTATTCGATAGATCCTGCAGATACTGAACTGTCGACGGCCGTCGATTGAATGAGGGAAAACCAATAGTTATTCCTCAACAAATTGTGTTTAAGAAAAGAGAATGAGAAACCACTTCGACTGAATTCCTGATTACAAGAGGAATAAAATCAACTCAGGAGAGGAGAGATGACTGCCGAACAAAACTATCACGTAACAGACAGATAATGGAAAGTCAGACCAGTGTGTAAATTAACGGTAAGGAAATTCAGAATAGCAAACAAATGGTGACTCTATCAATTCTGGAACGATTATTTCATTTGGAGTCAGCAGCGGACTGAAGACATTTGTGTTTGGATCTGTTTGAGGGTATATAACGGTTGGAATCCCTGTACAGAGATAGGTATTCACTGGTGGTCCTTCAATGGGTGCATTTAAGAGCGGTGCACATTCTGCGACGTTTATTTGGGGTGCACAAACGCACGGTGTGTTTGGATTTTTTTCTGTCGGTAAATTAGGGCGAGGTTTTTTCTTCACCAAAGAATTTGGCTTACGTATCAAGTGGATTATATTGCATAGGTGCTTCACATTTCGCAATCTGCGTTTCTCATCATCCGTTGAACTGGACGACTCCTCAGAACTATCCGAATCGCTTGGGTTTGTGGACTTATCCTCCTCCGTGTCCACACCCTCTTTTTGCTCTCCGAAAAATTCTGGTGTGACTTGAACACCGATTTCTTGATCCGGTTTCCGTTTTCTCCGTTTAGGATGCAATGATTTTAGTCCGTATTCTCCGGTGTATGCTCCATTAATGTAAATTGGTGTCAGATGTCGCCTGTGCTTTTTCTTCTCCACTCGCATCCGATCCCGTAACTGTTCACCCTGGGCTTTCAATATCAGTTCCAATGCGGTCAACCATTCGGACCGCTTTTCTTTCCGTGCACATTTACACTTCACAGTTGGTTTCTTTGTTTCCGCCGTCATTTGATTTGTTGGTTGTTCCTCGAGCATCAAATGTCGCGCTAGCTGAAAAAGCATCATGGTGAATCGTGCATCATTCACTTCTTCAATGGCCTGTTTCTCAAGCACATCATTGTGAATGCGCTGTTGCAATTGGGTGATACCGGGCAGAGATTTTGCTTTTTCCAACAAGTCAGCTGTTTGATTCATCTTGTCCGAATTCACCGGCAATGATGGAGGAGCATTAGTGATATCTGTCAACTTTGTGGATCGTCTAAAAGACCACGATTTTCTTCGTCTGATCGCACCTGGCTGCTCGTTAGTATCCACACTTTGTTTTGAATCGCTGTTCGATTGCATACTTGAAATCAGACCTCGAGAGGAGTGCTCATCTGATGTGGTTTCCCCGACTTGCCCAAACAGAGGCCGGGAAGTGAACATCGCATCGGGTCCTCCGGATGNTGCTGCCAAGTCTCTGTGATTCATATCGTTCACATCAGTGATCATTGTACTATCGCCTTGTCTATTGTTAATCTCATTTGTGGATGTGGTAGACCGATCCGAGTCAGTAGCCGATTCTGTTTCTTTTACTTTTGATTTTGTCCACTTTTTCCCCCATCCACGTTTTGCCGGAGCAGGGACTGAACCTTCCGGCTTCGAATTCTTTACTTTCTGTTCCTTTTTGGCAATTTTGTTAGCAGATTCTTTCTTGTTTTTCTTATATGTTGCTCCTTTTTGTTTACCCGACTGTGGCTCTGACTGGAGATTGCGTTCCGTCGAAACCGCATTCTCTGATGACGATTTATCATGCTTTTTCCCCTTCTCAGTTTTTACCGTTTTATCGTTCTTCTTCATCGGTGATTTTGACTTTGACTTCACGGAAGCATCATGTTTTTTACTTTTGGTTTCGTTCTTTTTTTCTTTCTCTTTCGGTTTACCAACAGCACCGTTATTTTTACTTACATCATCTGATTCCGTGTCACGTTGTACCGATTTGTCTTTATTCTCACACTCATCAATGAGCCGGTCGTTTTCACTCCACTGAAAGTTTCTCGTCTGGATGAACTCTATTTCTTCGGGACTGGGAAGTCCATCGCCCTCCCGTTTGTATGGGTTCTGTTCATCAAGTTGAAATCGTGTTAAGTCATCTATGGTTTGTTCTGTTTCTGTTGAACTGTCCGTACTCATGAATTGCGAATCCTCCGATTCTGTGCTTGTTTCTCTTGAATGTGCCCCATGTTCGACGTTCCTTTTTGTGGTTGTTTTTAATGTGGACTTCTTTGTTCTCTTTTTCGCCTCCTCGGCCATTTTTTTCCTGGCCTTAAGCATTCGTTTCATAGCCTTTTTGGCGGCCTTTTTCGCAGATTTTCTGGCAGCCCGTTCATTAACTCGGTGAACGGCTGCCGTCTGGCCTATTCGGGTACCAGTCATTTGTTTTAAAAGATTTTAGTATATTTTTATTTTTGTCTGAAATTTAAAAAGCTGACTTTGGTGTTCCGTATTTATTCTTTAATTGCTTTAGAAAAAATCTTTTACAGTGAATGAGCTATCCTCAGACCACCTTGGAGCTACTGTTCGTCGTTCTTAGACATTTTTGGCTGCAACAAGCGGTCCATTATTCTTTACTTCTGAAGGGAGCAGCACATTTCTTTAACTGTCTGTACATGTGTGCCACGTGATTGGATAATAATTGATTTTGGGTTTCCTTAAATTTGAATCCCTCTATTCAGTCAGATAGGACAGGTCCACAGCTTCTAGCGTTCCACTTTGTGGCAAATTGCACAGAGCAAAATGTGAACCCAAATAAACTCGCCCATCCAGAATGGCAAGTGTCGCGGCCAAATTTGCTGGAACCGGGGCACGAGTGGGCGGCCGTGTGGCAGCTAGGCAGTTGGGAAAACAGGCAGCAAAACAAGTAGCCAAGAAAGCCGCGAAACAAGTAGCCAAAAAAGCGGGCAAAAAAATTGCCAAGAAGGCAGGTAAAAAAGCAGCCAAAAAAGGTGGCAAAAAGATGACAAAAAAAGGAGCAAAGTCTGGCTCAAAAAAATCTGCTAAAAAAGCCACAAAGAAATCATCAAAGAAAACACTGAAAAAGATGTCGAAAAAAGCTTCCAAGATGAAAAATGAAGAGGAAAATGAGACTCAAACTGAGAGTACTTTTCAACCCGTACCGGCCATTGTCAGTGACGGAGGTAAGAGTGGGAAAAAGAAAAAACCCACTGGGAACAGTCGAGATCGGTCGAAAAGTAAAGATCGATCAAAGAGCGCACCGATCTCGGGTGACGAGAAGTTCAGTAAGAGTAGTGAAAGTGGCCGGAAACCCAATGGCCAATCCAAGTCAGTCTCAAGGTCCAGAGATCGAGGATCTAAAACGGCATCGAAATCCAAGATAAAATCCGAGAAAGCGATACAATCCAAGAGTGTACCCGTGGTTGGAATGATCGCAAACCGTTCGGTCAGCGAATCAGGACAGTCGGACGAGGAAAGTGATTCCAGTTCAGTTTCCGAAGACACTAGAGGAAGAAGTCAGAAGAGGGGAAAATCGAAACACTTGGCACTTGAAAGTGAAAAATCAATGAGAACTAAATCCAAGAAATTAAAATCCTCAAACCAAAAATCATCTCGTGGAAAATCTAAAACTCGTGGCCATTCAAAGACAGATAAAGAGACAGCAAAAACGGGTACATTTACCATTGGAGAGCGTTCAGCTAGGGCGGATAGCGAGCTAACCGATACTGATGAAACAGCTTCGATCAACAAAGGAAAAAAGAACTCCAAGAGCAAAAGTAAAAAGGGCAAGAAAACCGGAATGCTCAGCGGGGATGACATTTTGGGTCAGCCTCACGAGGATAATTCAACAATGGAAGACCAAAAAAGTGGAAAAATTAAAGGTCTTCGGAACAATCTAACAAAGAAACAGAAAAAGAACAAAAAGAGTGGACAAAAGCCCGGTGCAGGGTCGGCTAAGAATAGAATCGTAAATAGTGATTCACGTGATGAAACATCATCAAGTCCCCCGGACAATGATTCAATGGAAACTAGTTCTGTAACTAGTCTAACAGAAACTTCCAGTAGTTCAGTTAGTGAACAAAGTAGAACGTTTAGTGATACGACCGATCTGGATCACGAGGAGATGGCAGATAGCACGTCCGTGAAACCCCGCGGTAAAAGAAAATCGAAAACACCCAAGCGTGCCAACGCTAAAATTGATAGCGATGCTTCTCTTACGAACATGAGCGAGGTATCCAGTGCCACATCGGTTCCCACAACTACCACATCAAGCCCACTGGTGACCGATGGAACCGATTTGTCTTCCAGCATCAATTCAAACGAGGAGGAAGAGTCGGATAAGACAGAAACAAGCTCAGTCCAAAAACAATCGTCGATTTCTGCTTCTACTCGGCTGACACCGACAAACACATTTATGGGAAAACATACAAGAGACCAAATACAAGCTATATCTAGCAAGGCTACCAATCTAGCAGAATCGAATCCTCCTCTGAAGCAGGCTATGACAGTGACACTTGGTGAGGCCAAAACAGAAGCTACTCTGGAAGGTATACGAACCGTTGGTGACATGGCAAATCAAGCCCAACAGTTGAAATCAGATGTCTTGAGCAATGTGAAAGCAATTATGGGTCAAGAGAAGAAAGAAAACACAACCGAACAGAATAAAACTGTTGATGATGCAATCAAAACGCCTGTTGGTGCCACTGCGGTTGCTCCTGAAACTGACCCCGTCAGATCCGCTGAGTCCTCAGTCGACACCAAAGATGATACAGGTTCCGTGAGAATCTCTGAACCTCAAACAGAACTCAGAGCAACTTCACTTTCTGTTCCCGGTACCAATCAAGCAGTAACAAGTGAACCAAAGAAGCGCTCATGGAACTTAAAGTCACGTTTATTGGGAAGGAAAAGTCGAGGGAATTCTGTGAAAGCACCTGGAGAGAAAACCAATGAGATAGTTGTCGCAAATTCGGTTGTGGAAGAGGCGGTTCGGTCCACCGAGCATATTCCAAGAGAAACTTTCCCGTTTCATGAGTTCAGCGATCCGGAATTCAACCTGTTGCTGTTTCGTTTAGCAAAGCATCTTCTTATGGAGAATCAAGGCAAACAAACACCAGAGGAAAATATGACAAAACGAAAGAACAAACAAGAACGTAAAAAGGCACGCCGTTCAGAATGGCTTCAAGCGTTGGAAATGATTTTGAAAGCTAAAAGTGGTCAACCATTGGTTGAACTTGTGAAGCCACAAAAACGGGATCGAAGGCGGAAACAAAAATATGTATACTGTCCGGCAGAATGTGTTCATCACTACTCCAATTCCATTCCTTGTACATGTGGCCAAACACAGCTACCATCATACAATTACCAATTCACTGAGGGTGTTTCAAATCCTGAGGGGAACAAAATAGATCAGACGAATGAAGTTATTCCTGTANAATTAGATTCGGTATCCATGGGCTCAGAGGGATGCGCTCTAGTTCCACTAGATTTCAATTTTCTCACCTCATCTGAAAGTTCGACAAGTTCAGTCCACTCTGTGAGTTCAGACTATCTCAGACAGGAAGAGACAAAACAGATATGTCAAGTGATACAAGCGTTACATGGCGAAGCACTCAACAAGAACATAAAACGTTCACACTCTAAGCCGGCGAAACAAGCAGTACCTGCCTTAAACAATCCGAGCTCATGCAGATGTGTATCCGTGCCCCAGGTCCCCAAATGCGTAGGATTTAGAACTCATTGCCCACAAATGCTACATACACCATGGGCTTTGTCAACGGGTGTTGTGTGTCCATCATCCATGCTACCTCTGGTAATGATGCATCAACCGGTCATATCGTCACAAAGTCTAATTCACATGGACCCAAATATGAATTCCAACCCAGTCTACTTCCCTTATTGAAATCGTCCCGATTGGTTTGATCTGCTTTGATTTACAGCCAGCCGGTTTTCTATAATTCTTTTTGTTTATTTTTCGTACAAGTACGTTTTTGTTCTCAAAAACTGGTTGTCAGTGTTCAAAAATGTTAATTCGGAAGAAAACTCACTGTGGTCAAGCGATTCTGATCTTGTTCATGACACAAAGAACACTGTACAAGAACCCAAAGGTGTTTTTACGGGGGTCAGGAAGTAATCCTATCATGCTTTCCATGCAGGTGTTGGATTATTACGTTCTCATTAATTTAGACAAAAGATTTAGGATCAGATTATCCTGTGTGTGCAGTCATATGACCCACCTTTCAGACTGAAAAGCCTTCATGCTACTCCTAGTGTAGTGATCTTGGAGATGGTCGCATACACAGGTGACCATCCCGCCCTGTCGATCCATGGAAGGTAGTGCGTTTGGTCACATTGACCATATACTGACTCCGGTATGTGCCACAGGGTAGTGTCTTGATATCACATAAAAGTCAGAAAATTCACACTCCTAGACAGATGAAAGGAGATGGCCCTGAATCCAGCATTCGAAGGAGTTCTGCTTAGGGTAAAAATGGTCGTAAACAGACACTAGCTTGTACATATGGTTCACTAGAAAACTATAAAGTAAACCCTATGGAGATCCATGGAATCCTGGAATTGTGAACTTGAAGTAGCAGTATACTGATTACATCCAATAAAAGTAATTTTACTGGTTTTGAAGGACGTAGTTCCTCCGGAACACAGGTTCCCTAACTAATTCAAAATAAGAGTGACCTTGTCTGTACAATGCGGGCTGAATCGTCCAATTTGCCCTACCTGTACGATACTAGCACTACTAAAATTGATGAACAAAACATTATAAGTTATGCTGTATGATTGGTGCTTCAGTTGTCACATGTCACTGATTAGACCGGGTCTATGAAACGCCGTCCAGTTGGCGTGAGCTGATTTCTTAGTTAAATAAAAGTACTTTTGTGAGTTGCCTAGACAGAATGAGAGTTTCGTTGGAGTGAGTTCTGTTCATCCCCCCGGGCCCACTCAGGAAACTTGCCCTTGACCGTTGATAGAGTGAACCTAAGATGTGAATGAACGAGTCCGACACCAATTAGCCTCAGTCGACCGAGGCGTCCAAAACGGACCACGTCAAGATGGATCGATAAATCGATCATCATACTCAAGTGTGAATGTTCGTCTAATCCATTCCGCGAGTGGGCTCATTCTAGGCTCCCAATAGCCTGGTGAATAAATTCCATAAAGGCCGAGATTCCTTTGAATAATATCGTTTCTTCTGAACAGAATGCGATTGTTTACGTACTTCTGGCACCAAAAAGCATATTTGACTAGACACAACAACTTTACTGTAATTCATCTACACACTAAGAGCAAATTTGAAATCATTCATTAACTGACAGAAATCACATTTTTCATTGTAATTCCAGGATTCACGAATGCGTTCTATCCACAACACGAATGGCAATAACCTGACACCTACAGCTTCTCCCGTTTTTACTCAGCTTCGTCGCATAGGTTCTTATCCTTGTTGCTTCATTTCATATCCTGATAACATCTTTGTGATCTTTATACTTTAATGAATGACCAATGTGGTGATGAACATAACTCAGTTATCCATGATTTTACAAACTGTGATAACTTTGCAAAGGGTGAATCATGGATTAATGAGTTGATGTCAGTACAGTATTCGACACACGGTAGCCTTAATCTTCACCAGGGACTTTCTCCTACATGAAGAAGAGTTGGAGGAATTCATGAAGGATCTTGAACTCAAAGTGTCCTAGATGGTTATTCATGTTTTGATCTCTAAATTTATACTAGTCACGGTACTCCAGCATATATCACTACTAACCAGGCCGATTAGTGTATTTTAATATCACGAATCATCCTCAATAAAGACACATTTTGAGTTATGAGAGCTCAGGTTAGCAAACAAACTGGTTTTCAGTGCTCCTCGAGCTGGTTAATTATAGTATATTGAGTCACAAATATACACAATCCCTGTAAACGGATGCGCATAATGGTGCACTGGGGGTAGAAGAATTTTGTCAAAAAGAACGACCAAAATCGTCTTTACAGGCAAACTGACGATGAAAAATGAACGCGAGTTGTGCATTGCTTTCGAAGAAGATATTGGAAAAATACATTTCAGCTCTTTATTCATTAATAAACTTCATGGAAGCGTAGCTGTCACTGACGGGGACACTACGATGATGAGTGAATATGAAATAAAATAATATTCAGGTTAATACAAGACTATAAAATGTATAATTTATATCCTCAATCAGCATTAGGTTTTTGTTGGAATGCGTTACAAATGGAAATAGGTGTGGATGTCTATTTAGGATTCATGATCTAGTGTGGATGCTGCTTTACTAGGTGGCCTCAATGACAGCTGAAGTTACCGTCTATAAATTTCATTGATGGATCCCGTGGAAATTACTCAAAATATGGGTCTGCTTCAGGAACATCAAATTTCACCAGTAATGCGAATCCATCCACTCAACTGAGGAACGAACCCGGGATCACAGCGACAGAAAGCAATAATAATACCCACTTGACTACCGGACAGGTGATCAGACCGTTTTTCCCCTTTTACGTTTTACTTTATCACCAGCCATCGTTCCGAGCCTAATGTAGGCATCTTGGATAGTACATCTCAGCCATAGGATTCATACGGACGGCGAAACCCAACCAAATCGAAATAGTTGCCCAGTGTTTCCAATCTTTTCATCTTCTAATTCACTAACTCGATACAAGAGGAAATTCATAACACAAGCAAACCAAACTTTCCATTACTTTTGTATAACACCAGGTTCCAACGAACCTCAGTATCTGAAGCTTCACTTTCGTTATTAACCATTTTACGCCACATCTTGATTTCCCAATGGACTCTCTCCTATGGTTGTCAAGATGTTCATACATTTTCAAGCTGCGTGATGCAAAACAGGCTAGTTTCTCCCTTCACCTATATTAGCCATACGCTTATCAAGTTTAATATTTCTAAGTTGTCATCAGTTTCCAGTACAACTAGAATGAGAACACATATTTTATTGATAAAAATTGTACGAAAGCACAACGGGAATCAAAAGACCCGTTTCACTAGCGTTATAAAGTTGTGTTTCAATTTTTAAGTTTGTTTAGAGGAAATACGAAGTGTTGTGACGTGATCAGTTAGCAGTCACCACCCAAGTATTTGTAAACTTTGCCCCTTCTGAAAAGATGACCGTATTACCCGAAGGCGGTGGTCCTTCTAGCGTACGTGCTCGGATGAGTTGAGTGCTGTTCATATGTCGCTTTGTAACAAATTTCTGGCATTCATAGAGTCCAGGGTTGAGTAAACCGTGGGTTGAATAATGTAGGTACCTGTAGCACTAACCCATGAACCGCCCAGGGGTTTCCTAGCCCATAAATGCTTTTGATCCATCTTGACGTAATTGGCTTCCTTACCCGACTGACAGAGGTCAATTACCGCCGGGTTCGTTCATTCGTACCTATGACGCACACTCGATCAACGATCACGGACATAACTTTCATCATCACTCAAAAGTACTTTTGTTTGTTTACGGATAGGTTAGTTCATTCGGACTGGATGGAGTTTAGACAGACCCGATCCAATCGGTGACGTTTGACGGCCGAAACGCCAATCATCTTGCGAGGTAGAGTGCGATAGGTCGCATTCACTTGATGTTGAAAAGGTATAAATATTGAGCTCTCCCTTTTGTAGTGTTGCGTGACTCCATTATCAACTAATTTCTCAAAGCATGTAACCGTCTGTGCAACCCAATCTTGTCTGATGCATCACACCTCTGCACCTAACCCGCTCTCACACCATCTTCACTTCTATCACCTGCAATAAATTTATACCCTTATACAATAGCACTACAGTTTTTCACAATTCTGTTGCACCTTATCTTTGTTGTTTATTTGTATTCAGGGAACAACAATCAAACGAACTGAGGCGATCTCATGTAATTCATACTACCCTTTCCGCTTCCACCATGCGTCCTCGCTCATCACCATCTTTACACAGTTGCTGTGAACTTCCATCTTAATCACGTGTAGGCCAAAGTAAAAATGATAATTTTTCGGGGAAAATTCTGCTCATAACGGATGAATAAAGTTCACTTTGACTTGACTTTCACCGCAGTTTCGCCCCTATCCGGCTGGTCGTAAACATGGTTTGAGTTGGTTGAAGTGCTCCACGAAAGATGGTTGTGCCGATCCCGCTTCCCGCATGACACCGCACATAATATAAACCTCAGATGTTATTCACTGAACCATAGCTACCACATGGACAGCAGACTTGTGTTCTGGCATCCCTAACGCAACCAACGGACAACTTTTGAAAACACGCTTCTTCAAACGGCCTAAATTATTTAGAAGCGACAGAAAAAGTTTGTTTGTTGACAGAATGCAATGATCTTACATTACTTATGGACAACTGGGTTACATGTGAGCTTTCCTCCACTGCACAAAAGCTTTTATCTTTATGTACTACACAGAAACTTGCTTACTCGAAGTAAGGTGTTCACTGCATTTATGTTTGAGTTTGAGTTCAGTTTTACTTTATGTTTCTGATATGACCAAATATGAACACCGTCATTTATCTGTTCCGAAAATATGCGATGGATTGAATTTTCTCCAATCAGCATCCAAATACATTCGGATCGGGTCTACCGAATCTTTCAATTTGGTCTCCACCTGAAATACTCCCGCAACTTCCAAGGCCTAATTCTGTGGCACAATCAGGAGATGGTTTGGCGAGCAACCATTCTGGCAGAGTTCCAAGGTTCGCCGGGTTGAATTCGGACCAAGTAAGGTGCAGTCAAATTCGTTTATTTGTCTATGGAATAGAGAAACAAAATTATCGATATATTTGTGGTATGCCTGTTGAGGGCTGGCACAAGTGGCTAATGAAATCCACTAGTCCTGATATACGGACGGTATTTAGTTCAGCTCATAATTAACTGTGAGTGGCTAACTTGGAATGGATATCATTTTACAGTCCAATGGCTATCTTTTGGAAATCATTTCACCCTTACTAAACAGTTCATGCAATCGATCATATGCTGGCAATGAGCAGACTCAAATTTCACACTAGTAAGAGCTTATCCGTGATGTATGTGCACCGTTCACTTTATATTACACCTACAAACCAATCGCATAGAAGATATGCGTTACTTGTTGTTCATCCGGCTCACATGGAGCCTACCATTGTCCGTGATTTATTCATTCACAGTTTAATCATTCACAGTCATCCCACTTCTATACCGATCAGAAACCAATGAACAAATTATAGGTTCTGCAAACTTCACTCGGCAAAGCCTCACCTGTAGGGACATTCTAAGTGTGAATGGGTTCACGGTTAATTGATAGAGTGCATCTATTAATTGACTGTGGCAATTTCGCAAATTCTCAATTTTTTCCAACAAACAATCGAATTTTATCAGTATTTGTAATGACGATAAAGTGACCGAGTTTGTTGATGGGAAGTACACACCTTTCGTGAGCGATGAGAGTAGACCACTTTCTACAATAGTGATTTGAAGATTAGAACATTTCTGTTCAGTTCAGTTTGTATAACCCTTAACCATGCTTTTTCGTGCGCCGGTTTTGGTTGCTATCTTTTGACCGCCCGTTTGGATGAAGCAGTAACAAAACAGGAAAGTAGAAATTAGAATCGAAGGGAAAATGGAAAATTTCAATGGACTAAGGCTGCATAGAAATTGAGGAGATACACGAACACCATTGTTTACGACATCCAGCCATATCACTCAGTGTCTCTAATCACCGGTTAACACGATCTCGAGGTCCCCATCCGGGGAGCCTAACACGACCCATACGAACATGTAATGGTATCTAATGGTTTCAACTCTTGTGGATGATAAAATACGAGATCCACCTAAGGTATTGGTTAGGTAAACAGGTCTTTGTCCTTTACCACTTTTACTCTTCCTGAGTAACTTAATAAACGATAGAGGTGTTGCGTTCTATCCCAGGATTATCTACTTTTATTTTCAATCTAAAAACCAACAGCGAACAACTAATCATCTCATTTTAGTTCCACTTTCTGATGAATAAATATGTTCGAAACCTTGGTGAATACGAAATCCTGTGGGATTACAACGCATTGTGTGTGTGTGTGTGTGTGTGTGTGTGTGTGTGTGTGTGTGTGTGTGATTGAGCGGTTGACAGATTAGGGTCAACCAAGACAATGTGTCGCAACATTTGAATTCAGAACAAACCAGCCACATCAAGCGATCACAATGTGTGTAAATCGGATACCACCGACTGCTAGTGTATCCTACTACACAAGCCGTCAATCTAAACCCCAAGCTCACACAGTGGGTTGTAGTCCACGTACCCGATTCCCGTTTAATTGAATTGATATTCAGGTTTGCAAGCAAACCGATTCATTGTCGACAGAGATAAATAAACTAATGTCACTAACTGGTTCGATCGATACCTGTAGGTGGTAAGAGAAAATATAAGGGCACTCAACGTGATAGCTAATGACACATTTGTTTGAGCCATATCACTCGCATTTTGCTGGACTTTTTGTTCTCCTACAGAGTACTTTTCATGTGAACTGTAGAGCACGCTCAATCACACTTAGAAATTCTTAGGAATTTTCTGATTAAAAGCTTGTTTCCGAATAGTATAGTTTTATACGCAATGATCACCGTCGTGGGAAATTTGGATATACACTCCCATGGCTTACACACTGCACATCATTAAGTGGTTTTCGAAATCTCACTTTACCCCCTTCGCCCCCCTGCCCCACGCCAGAGCGGTTCCAATACACCGGAGGATCATATGAATCAGGCCGATTTGATCGCTACCGACTATCAAAACCTGTTGGCCCTGGCGGAACAGCGTGCTAATCTGCGTGAACAGGCCTTGTCTGACAGTTATCACACGTGTGAGGAATTGCAGAGTCGTGTAGACCAACTATCGAACCGGGTTCGTTACTATTGGACTTGTTTGTGCTAATGAGATTTCGCGGTAGTGAATGACAAGAAGAGATGAAAACAACGATTGTTTCGTTTTTGTTTACAACCTTCTCAACCGATTTCCACTGCATTCGCTCTCAGTGTCTGGAGACACAACCCTGTTAAGGCTTACCCGAAACTTATCAAAATTCATCGGAGAGTTAAAGTCAATGAATAACAATTTGTCTAGCAATATTGAACAAACATCGTTTGATGAACGGCAAGAAGTGCCTAATGACACAGAAGTATTTTGTGATAGGCGATTGATCATTCAAGTGGTCAACCTATCGAAGAATATAATGTTATGTAAATTTCCATTATCTGAAAGGGTCTCGTTGAAATGTTTTTGCTGAATCAGCCCAAGCATTAAACTGTATAAGTGTAATTGTAAGCGATTGAAGTTAGTTCTTCAAGAATGTTCGCGATCTATTTTTTAGATGCATGGCGCACGAATTTCATCTGGTAATCAGATCACAGGCGTCTATAGTGCCACACACACACCAATCAAATTAGGCTACTAGCCAAACAACAGTCGTGTACGGACCAATCATAAAGCGACATGGATGCAGCAACAAAGCACGACCGTACCGAAAACCTATCCAATACCTCCGTTTCTTCATGATAATTTTGCACCATGATCCTGAATGGTATATTCGGCCTCTTCGTATTCTTGGTTACGATATCAGTTCTTTCGGGTTGGGGTTCATTCACTTTCATCTCTACTTATTCTTACGAATGCGCATTGTTCGGTTCTCCTATTTTCCGTTCTGCATCATCATCTGTCCACTTCCATGAACCCCTCCAACAAGTAAACTGTTGGCGATACCTTAGTAAACTGAATTTTTTTTCACAGTCATACCACTGATCTTTTCACCTCCATCTTCTCCATTGGTTCCAGTGGTTTTACCTATGCTGCGTTTCCATCCAGGTGAATACAGAAACCTACTACTACCGCAGTTACAATATTTTTTTCTGCATCCACATGGTGTTTTTCGGTCTGAAATTAATCGTTATTAGTGACGTAGTCTGCTACTGTATCAATGCATATGTGTAGAATAATATTTACGCGTTTTCTTAACAGAGGTTGGCTCAGGCTGATTCCTAAGTTATGCAACCAGAAAACAGCGGACAGCCGGGGAAAAAGCAATCCAAAACCCCAAGGAAATTTCCGTGTACACTTTTCAGTTTATTTGAAAGATTTGTTTGATCTCTTATCATGTCAATTGTGAACTAGGTTTCTCAACCGCACCCGTTCATGCCAAAACCTACTATCTGTCAGCGTACACCGAATCATAATCTTACAGTGAAATAGACAGTAAAGTGAAATTCACCAATCGCCGGCAAGCTCGCAATTCATGCAAAGTTAGTGGTACTATGTACGATGGACAAGGATTGAATCTACTCTGAGAGGGAACGAAGGAAGCGAACCACTATAACAACACACAGAGTACACAATTTAACTGTGCATACATATCATTTGAAGCATGATAAAGAATGGTAACAAAAATACCACTGCTGTTTGTTCGCTGCCATATCCTTCAATGTCTCCAATCAACCAGTTGTAATCTTTCAGCCGTCAACATGGAAGGTGCAAAACACCTACTCTACCTAATCACTGTGCNATTGAGGGCGGATACAGTGAATAAAGCGCGATGCGGCAGACGGCAGCTGGACGTACTCAATACGTGTCCTAACGAGCAAAGCCTACTAATCTGAATTCGACACTCTAAAAAAATTATCCCAGATAAACTCTGAAACACACAACGGTTTATCTCCAGATTACTAACTCGTTCGCTCCATCCCACATAGGCTAAACTACGTAGACATCGACAATTCAAAACTTCTAATTGTGGGATATCTTCTAACGAATACACGACCTTCAGTAAGATTTGATCAAACTTTCTGATTATCTACTGCTCGCCCATATAACAATGAAAAGGAAGATCGACCTCATCGTAATACAAACACAGAAACTTCCCTCCCTACTCGTGTTTAGTATTTAAATTTTTAAGCTACGGAAAGTGCCTGAAGTTGGATTCCTTTAATTATAGATAATATATACTTCAACGTGTAAGCAATACACGTAGCAAGGCCATTTCCGAACGTTGGTTTTCGTTCAACACACCAGCGTACACTCACTACCAACCGGAAGAGAACCAAACCCACGCACAGGCTGCTATTCATGACAAAGAAGGATCACACTCCTTCAAAAATGAATCACATCATTATAAATTGGGATTCATATCAGTTATTTTATTGTTTACTGTCGGTTGTTCATTTTGGAATGGTTTCGGAGTTTGAGGTTCTATCCAATATTTTAAAAATGATCTTGCGGTCATCTCATTTTGTTTGACATTCCAGGTCACGGAAAGAGAAGAACTGTTGGCTCGACTGACGTTTGAGGCTAGTAAGCTGAAGAATAATTACGAGAGACTATGCTCTGATGTGAGTTAATGGCGCCAGACGGGAACTCCATGGCTTCATTTTGATGGAAAATGAGCTGTCCTGATTATCCTCTCCAATGAGCTCCATTTTATCTTTGAATAATTCACCACGAAGGAGTTAAATCGATTAGAGATGTTACATTCCGTGATCAGATTTGTCTGAATGGCATATTGAATCAACCAAAACGTGGCTCTGAAAATACTGTTGTTGTTGTTGTTGTTGTTGTTGTTGTTGTTGTTGTTGATGTGTTCTCCAAGCTGGAATTGTTGTTCGCGGAAAGTTCATAGCCAGGCTAGGTAACATCATCAGTGCAGCTTCGGGGAAATTCGGTTAAGTAATATTGTGCAGCTATTGATAAAACGAAAATTGTATGAATAGTTTTGGTAACTGGTTTGTGGACTAGAGTAAACAAAACGGAGTCTATAGTAACCCGATCTAAGTCAGTAGTACTATTGTACAACCGGGTGGGTGAATATTCAGCTTTGACATATATGTTTACTAC